CACCAGGGAACTCAGGTAGTCTCAGTCCTTGGGGTTCCTTATCTAGGTCCGGGGGCGGGGGGCAGGCAGGAGAGTGGGCAGGTAGAGTGACTTTTGACATGCCCCTGGCCGCTTCCCAGACTGTGAAAAATCATGTCTGAGCCACTGTTCAGACTCTTGATAAACTACTCAAGGATAAGGTGATAAGAGATTTAGAGATGGAGATACTAAATTATTCACAACAAAGAGCCTGGTGCTAGGGATTTTTAGAAACCCGTGGGCCGAGTGTTGGGAAAGGATGGGTGACATTATCACTGAATAGGTTGCTCCTCGCCCTCTCTCCCAACCCCCACTACTTACCCTGACCCCAGGGCTGGTGAGCTCCCCGTCCCCGGAGGTGTTTAAGCCGGGGCTGGATGTCTGCTTACGGGGTATGCCTGGGTTGGAGATTTGTATTCACGTCCTGGTAGGAGAAGGCAGACTCGCCCCCACCCAGAGCCGGTGCAGTGAGCGACCGCGGGCTCCTACACTCTTACAAAAGAGGCTTTGCGCCATCTGGTGGACATGTCTTCAAACTGCAGCCCTTTCCCAGGGAGAAGCCCAGAGCCGGAGGGTCCCCAAGGCAGAGTAGACGCTCTCAGTTTCACCGGGGTCTGCATTAGTTTGTGAGAGCTCGGTGGGGCCAACGCGTCCGGCCAGGCATCGGCAGGCTCCAGAGAGGCAACGGTTACGGGGAGGATTTATTAGCGGGACTCAGGGCTTGCTAAGGCATGTCCCTGGGATTGGAGTGACCTTGAATTGTCTTTGCCCAGGAGCCAAAACTTCCCGGTTCAGTTCCATGTGAGTTTCTGTGAAACCAGCCCCAGAAAAAAACAACAACAACAATAAAACAAAAACAAAACAAACTCTCTCAAAGTGTTTTTCCCCATGGACATCATATCCTGGAAGAGTCTGTGTACCAAAACGCATGTTCTCATTATGTTTATTACCTGATTGCATCATTTATTATCATCAGAGGCCCTTACAACGGCCCCATTGAAGCTGCGATGGGCGTTACCTGTCAACAGGACCACATGGGGTTTGTGTCATCAACAAAAGCATAGACATTTGGAAGCTCAGTGGGCCAGGGCAGCCCCGTCTAAGGTGAGTGTTACATTATGCTCAGCCCCCCTAAAGCACTGAAATGGGCTCTGGCTCCCGGCCCAGCCTTCCTTCTGCCCTGGGTGGTGAAGCCCGGGGCTCAGTTGTCCCCGAGGGAGATGGGCTCCCTGCCCTGTGCGGAGCCCTGTCCCAGGCCAGCTGCTCCTCTCACCTCTTCTCCTTTTGGTTTCACTTCAGTTTTGAGGAAAGGGCACGGTTTTAATGAACAGTTGATTCCAGGCCTAGCAGCCGGCCAGGACTCTGGAAGGCAGGGCAGAAAACCCTGGCATGGAGTGCAGTTTGGTAGTCTGCTGAGTGACCCCTTGAAGGCTCCTTGTGCACTGGCTCTATATAACGTGTTTTCCTCCCAGCATCAGCTGCCCCAGGAAGTGGGGTATGTGCGACGGGCGCTGTTGGGAGTTTTCTCTGGTAGGCCCTCAAGGGTCCGACACAGGACGACCCCTCCCTGTTCCCAAAGGTGTTCTTCACCCTTACGGGAGTGTCAGCCCCAGTCCTGGTCTACTCTCCTGCCTTGATAGCAAGGCTGACCCAAGCATGTAACTCGGGGACCCCTTTGCCCCCTCCCCCCAGGGATGGGCCTCTGCTGTCAGCCCCTGACCTACCCTCAACTCATCATGATCATGAAGCCCACAGCCCCACCACACCTCCAGGCCCTCCAAAAAAAAAGGGGAAAACAGAGCAGAAGCCTCTATGATCCTTCCTAGGGGTGCTCTCTCTGGCACCTCCCAGCGCCACCTTGTCCCCCACTGTCTCCAGGGGGCATGCCTCTCATTACACCTCTCCCTGAAGACTGCGACAAGGACTGATGAGTGAACTTCCCAAAGGCAGAGCTGCACCCTCCTTCAGATGCCAGCCCCACCCCTCCCCACATCCGCAATTCACTTAAAAGGATTTAAGAATTTAAGTTCATGATTAAATTCTTTTTTTACATGGGCGTATCCTGATTTCAGAACCGCATGGTTTGAACTCCCCACGCAAATCTTGGAGCTGGGCCCCGTGGCAGCTTAGTTTGGAAGTCCCATCGAGGGGCTAAGTGGGCACACAGGAGGGGGCGGGTCGTTCCCCAGACTCCTTCTGAGCCAAGAGTGCCTTGGCAGGTGTCTCCAGAGGCTGGATAGTTTGGAGGTAACAAGCTCTTGCTCTGTAAATGTATGTGTTTTCTGTGCATCTCTATAAAACTTTCCCAGCCAAGACTTGAGTAGAAAATGCGGATTGACATCATGGGGAGGGACCAGAGGAAGAAGTCAAGAACGATGGTCACTGCTAGGCTCCTCCATGACAGGGACAACAGGTCACAAGCATCAGCTCAGGTTTCCCCTAAAAGCCCAAGAAATGGCAGTGTCACCAGGATTGAAGGAACTGTTAGATGTTGTCACCACAAACTTAGGCAGTGCCATACGTCAATCACATCTCAGTAAAGCCGGGGAGAAGTGGAACTTCCTTGTGAGGGAAAAAGACTGTTTGCAAGAACCCACGTAGCAGAAATGGAGAATCATGGAGCCCATGCTCCTGGGTGAATGCGTAAGTGGCTTGACTGGATGGAGACCGTGACTTGTGTCATTTATTTCATTAATGAACGTCTTAACACACTCCGTTTTTAAATAAATTATTTATTTACTTTGACTTCAATATTATTTGGCAAAAAAAAAAAAAAAAGAGACAAACATGGCTGGCTACTTTTTCAAATCATGAAAATTTATCTCTTGCTTTTTAAAAATGATCTGTGAGGAAGTCCATTTTGACCTGTTTTCAGTGACCCATCACTTTTCAGGAATCTGTGCCAAAAATGGTTGTAAACCCAAAGCCTCACCTGGTGCCAGGTAGACAGCAAGTGCTCCATTAATGCTGGTGGAAGGAAGGGCTGGATGAATCCTTTTACTCCTGGCACCCAGGTGGATATCCCTGACCTGGGCCTGATGTGCCTGGGGAGATGGGGAAAGTGTGGGCTTCCCCCGGGTTTGAGCGGGATGACCGGGCATTCGGACTCTGGGGTGGTAGATTCTGCCCAAGCCCAGGCCCCATGGGTCCAGCGCTGGGTGGGATTCATCACCCTGGGTGAAGACGTAGCCTCCCGTGATACACTGCTGTTGACAACCACGAACGAATGCCTCAAAAATGCCAACATCGTACCTGGAAAAAGTGACTTCTGAGGCAACGTGAGGAGTCGGCCAGGCTGAGCTGGGCTGTTTGTCCTTGAGCCCGTCCCTCCCCATCTCTGGCCTCAGTTGCCTTATCAATAAAAGGAGAGGCCGGACAAGTGGATTTTGAAAGGCTTTCCCAGTCTAATTGTGGAGTTCTGGGTTAGAGATGCTGAGAAAAGCTATGGGGCAAGGGTTCACCTGGGACCAAAGTCAAGGAGATGGAGCAGTTTCAAGGGAGAGGAAAGAGACCAAGGATTTTCGTAGTGAGCCTTTACGCCCTGGCATGGAACTGTTCAGGGCCGGAGGTGGGGCTCAGCCAGGACAGAAGCCCTGCACAGGTGTGGTGGCAGCTCTGAAGGCCAAAGTCCAGGAATCCTTATCAGCTTCTGCACAGTGACTCAGAGCCTGCTCAGGCTTACAGGCTGGGGATTTCCTGACCTGCCAGAGGGTGGGGGGGGGGGGCAGGAGGCAGAGGTTTCCTCCTGCCGAGAAAGAAGATGTGAATCCAAGAAGTTCTGTTTTCAATGAAGTAAAAATATCCCCTTCCCTTTCACCTGCAAACCTTACTGGAAGGGTTACAGGGCAGAGGCTCTGATCCCCTGGCGAGGCCCCGGCCACTCCTGGGGCGTTGGGGATAAAAGAAGAGAAGCTGAACACAGATTCAGTTGGGTTTGTGGCATGTTTTTGGTGAACACAGACTAAGTGGTCCCTACAGAGCAGGCACACGCTAAGCATGTCACCAATGTTGTCTTACGGAGATTTCTAGCAATCCTGTGAGGTCAGATTGGGAACAGCATCTGCATTTTACAGAGAAGCCTGAGGTTCTGGAGAGAGACAACAACCCGCCCAAGATCATGTGGCAGGTGTGGGTAGGAGACCACAGGTTCAGGAGGCAGAGGTCCTCTCGGCTGGGTCATAGTTACAGCGTCACCAAAGGACTGAAAACAGGAAAGAAGGTTGGGCCAAGGGAGGCGAACCATTCACCAGAGATGCCGAGGGCAGTGGGGCAGGGCCATGGCCTTGGCTTGAGAAGGGCCCCAGAGTCACTAAAGGCCCCAGAGACATGCAGAATCATTAACACCAACCGACCAGCCAAGGAACAGTGCTATGTTTTGAAGAGACACCCAAGCTCTGTGAGCCTTGCCTCTGTTTCCCCATCTTTAAACCTTGGGGGTTTGGTGTGTGAATGGAATGAGATAAAATATGGGCAGGACCCTTAGTAAGAGGCCTGGCACACGGGGTCACTTCAATGTCAGTTAGCATTGTTAGATGTTATTACTAAGACTGACAGGTCCCTCTTACAAAAGAGGAAGGAGCTAAGGCTCCATGAGGGGCCCCTGCTACCTTCTTCTCTAAGTTGAAGGAGCTGAGTTGGAGACTCTTTTGGTGCCCAGCAACTGCTCCCAAGCTGAGCAGGTAGCAAGGGGTAGGGCAGGGAGAGAGTTCACTCTTACGCCCCACTGAGCCCCAGGGCTGCCTTACTCAAGAACGATGTCCCCCACAGTGTCCAGAATGTAAAACCTCCCAGTTCTCAGCCTCCTGGGTGCCCAGGCAGCTTTGAGATCTGAGACAACAGTGATGATCCTGTGAGTGCAAAACCCATTGGGGATCCCTGCTGCTCTGTGAGGAAGGCAGAGACGACCGGGCGAAATATAGCTGCCATCAAGGGATACTCAGTTTCTGTCCATCAGTGCTTGGTGCCCAGAATCCACCTGACCCTCACGGAGAGACTTCCAGCATCTTCTCCTTGAAATCCATCCTGTCCTGATGCTGGCTCTCTGGCTGCTCCAGGCGGCTGTCCTCATCCTGGCTGACCTTGCTGGGTGTCTTCAGAAATCTGGAAGTCAAGCCCCAGTTGCAAATCAGCTCCTGCCCCAGCTGCTTCCAGGCCACCCAACATCATCACTTCCCCTTTTCACTTTGGCCCCTAGGCTACTCACCTGAATAGGAGTTTCTGCCCGGGTTCTTTCTTAATGATGTTCAGCTTATAGTAGTGGCGCAAGGCACGAGACATCTTCTCATAGGTCATGTTCACCCGGTTCTAGAAGGCAAAGCAGTCCCACATCACCCTCCTCTCCCCACCCCACTCCTTCCAAGCCTCAGTTTCCATACCTGGAAAGGAGCAGTTTGGGGGCGCCTGGGTGGATCAGGTGGTTAAGCATAGGCTTTTGCTTTCAGCTCAGGTCATGATCTCAGGACTGGGAGATCGAGTCCCACGATGGGCTCCACACTCAGCCAGGTATCTGCTTGGGATTCTCTCTCTCCCTCTCCTTCTGCCCCTCCCCATGGTCACTCTCACTCTCTCTCAAAATAAGTATCTGTCTCTGTCTCCCTGCTTCCCATCCTCCACTCCCCCCATTTCTTAAAAAAAAAAAAAAAAAAAAAGAAAAAAAGAAAAAGAAAGGAGCAGATTGAACTGGGTGGTTTCTTAACCCCTTCAGTCCAGATTGCGGTCAGCATTTCTAAGAGTCTTTTGAGTTTGGAAGGAGAAAAGCAGGGGAAGGATGGAGGAGAAATAATGAGCACTACCTACGGGGTTGAGAACCATGGGGCAGGAGTAAATCAGCTGTTGCGTTTACTTTAAAAAAATTTTTTTAAAAAGATCTTATTTATTTATTTGAGATAGAGTGAGCACAAGCATGAGGGGCGGGGCAGAGGGAGAAATAAACTCCATGCTGAGCAGGGAGCCTGATGTGGGGCTCGATCCCAGTATCTCGAGATCTTGACTTGAGCCGAAGGCAGACGCTTAACCAACTGAACGACCTTAGCACCCTTCACGCATTGTTTTTAAATAGCAAGTGTCACCTGGAGCAACAAATACATATATATTTAGTTGAAAACACAGTCAGAGAGACAGCATGGGAAGGGGAGCACAGCAGTAGGAGGAAATCACGAGCTGTGTGACTTTAGCTAAGTCATTTTATCTATTCTCCCTCTGAGGGGTGAACGGTGCAGAGTAAGGGCAAAGAGGCTGGGCTTTAATGTCACCGTAAGCCCCAGCTCCGCCATTTGGCAGTTGCAGGACCTCGGATAAGTTTCCTTGCCTCTCTGCATCCGTTTCCCTGGCCTTCAAATGAGGATAAGACCATTCATCTTGCAGGTACATTGTGAGGACTAAATTAGCTAAACCCTGCGAGCACTTAGCACAGTGCTCGGCATGTAGCATATACTCATTAAATGGAATTGCTGCTCTCTGGGCCTCAGTTTCCCTCCCTGTACTACATGGGGACTGGACCAGGTGAACACATGCAGCTTTGAGTCATTTACATCCTTCCAGCCACCAATACCCTGAGAAGCAACAAGAGGGGGCACTGCAGGGCTGTGTGGGTGGCACAGTTGGTTGAGAGCCCAACTCTTGATTTCCTCCCCGGTCATGATCTTGGCGTAGTGAGATCAAGCTCCAAGTGGGGCTCCTTGCTCAGCGGGGAGTTTGCTTTTCTTCTTCTCCCTCGCCCTCTGCCCCTCCCGCCACAAATCAATACATCCATCCATCAATCAACCAATCCTTAAAATAGAGTAGAGCCCAGAGCCACATAAGACCTGAGACCTGGGTTTCTACCCCAGCTCTCTCCAGGAAACCATGAAACCGGTCTCCTCATCTGGTCCAACTGCCCCACAGCACATATTGCACAATTCAAGTAAAAACGCTTTGAGAGTCTCAAGTGCTAAGCAAAAGTGGTTTTGAGCGAGTAGATGGCAAGACCCCTGAGTTTCAGGGACAGTCCCCATCCTATAGAAGTAACATCCTGTTGTCCCCCAGGATCTCCCAGAATAAATTGATCCCAACACTCCTGGAGCTGCTAGGGAAGCTGGGGATGCCCTCCCCTCCCCGGTCAGTTGAGGACCATCCCCTAGTGCTGACAGGTCCACTCTGAACCCCTGCTCTGTCCTCTTCTGGATGTGTGGAGGCCACCCCTCCTGCTGTCTGTGGTTTACCTTATGGTTTCCCCAGAGTCTGGCAAGCCCGTTTGGATCCACAACTCTGAAGATCTTGGCATTCTTGTCTTCCCACCGGATGTAGGGCTCGTACCTGGGGTCAGAGAGTAGCTGGTACACATAATCCCACAGCAGCCGGCAGTCTGCAATTGAGCACAGGGGTGTAGACAGAGCTTTCCTGGAGCTATGAGGACAGGTATTAGGAAGGTGCTCTGGCGCTCTCTAGGCTAGGGCCCAGGCATGCAGTGGGATGGTCAAGATGACAGCTTCAACAGGACCAGTCACGTGTGGGGGCTCATTGCCTCATTTATTCCCCATAACTTTAGGAAGTGGTTACCTTTATCCCCAGGAAGATGATGGAATATGCTCAGAGAGATATGGACAGATTCCCCAGTCACCGAAGTCTCCTAGTGACCTAGACCAAGATGTCTAACCTAGCCAACACCCTTCATGGTGGCAAGGGCAGGCAGTGGGGGTGCCAGAGGGTGGCCAGTGGCCTGCACCTGTCTCCAGATCCATCCCTTCAGCCGCTTCTCCATTAAATTGGGATTATTAAATCTACCCCATTGAGCCCCCTGGGGAGAGGCCTTGAGAAAATCAAATGTGCCCATCTTGGAGGACAAGTGGCAGAGGGGGCCTAGGAGCAAGAGATTTAGTCCCCCTCCCTGAGCCTTGCAGCTGGGTCATTTCCAGCAGGTTCCCTAACCTCTTCCAAGCCACAGTTACCTTATAGGTGGTGATATGAGGATTAAGTAACATAAACTCAAAAGCCCTTGGCCCAGGGTCTGGTACAGAGTAAGCGCTCAAAGAATATTTATTTACTTATTTATTTGAGAGAGAGAGATCACAAGTAGGCAGGGGGGTGGGAAGCAGGCTCTCAGAGCCCGATGCGGAGCTCCATCCCAAGACCCTGAGACCATGACCTGAGCTGAAGGCAGAGGCTTAACCCACTGAGCCACCCAGGCACCCCAAGTGCTCAAAGAATATTAAGCATCATTATTAAAAAGACCTGATATTTGTGTTTTAGTGATTCCCAGCTATTTCCAACCCAGAAGCTAGGCTTCTGCCCCTTCTGTGGTGTCTTAGAACAAACCACCCCTTGGCGGTGGTTAAGCAGGCGGTTTATCTGTCAGTCTGTCTGGCGGCCTTTAATCAACCCTTTACTGATGAATGTAGAGAGAAATTGTGTCACCTGCTTAGAGTTCAGGCTTTGGAGCCAGACTTCCTGGGGTCACACCCCAGCTCTGCCACTTACTGCTGTGTGATTGATCCTGGTGGAGTCACTTAACCTCTCCTTGCCTCATTTCCTTCCTATAAAATGGGTCTAACACAAAACTCCAAAAGCTGGTGTGGGATTAAATAAAGTTCTCAGAATCACACCCAGTACCCAGTAAGCACCCAACCATTTAAAAAGAAATAAATAAAAATTCGAAGGAGAGGAGTATGCCATGCCAATCTCACTGACTATGACTGGCTTCACTGTCCCTGCCCTGGAGAAAGGGTGGGCTTGGCGACCCTGGACAGCGCTGCCTGCTGCGGCCAGATGGTGGCCGGCATATGGACAGTCACCCTATATCCCCCAACAACCCAGCACAGACTCATTCTCAAGCTGAAAACAGCCCTCCTCCCTGCCACCCACCCCTGGGACTTGGCCTCAGCACACCTCCCTCTGGGCCAGGGGCACATGGTCTCCTACTCACCAGCGATCCTGCCATCGATGGGGGCCTGTGGCATGGCGGGGAAGGAGCAGGCTCCCTTAGCCCTGCAGCCCAGCTCCGCACAGTGTGATACGTTGAGGGACTCCTCCCTGCTGAGGGGCCACTTGGCCAGGGGACTTGAGGAGCTGGCCAGCCCCAGGTGTGATGGCTGCTGCAGGAGATTGCTTCCGGGAGCCAACGGAAGTGGCCCAGTCCCCTCTGCAAGCAGGTAAGTACCACTGATTCTGTGGGCCCAGAGCCTCCCCCAGCCCAGACCCCTTAATGGCACGACTGGGAGCCCTGTGGGCAGCACTTCTAATGCTCTTCCCCCATCCAGTTCCCAGCTGGAAGGTCAGGGAGGCACAGAGGGCAAGGGTGAGGGCCAGATAGACCAGGTGCTAACCCCAGCTCCCAGACAAGTAACTCAATCTCTCAAACCTATTCCAAGGGATGACAGAACCAGGTCCAGAATCCAGATGCCTTGTATCTCAGTCCTATGTCCTCTCTACGCACCCAAAAATATATTTATTGAGAACCTTCTGTGAGCCAGCATTGTTCTAAAAACCTTGAGGACATACCACTGAACTGAAAAACAGAGCCCCTGCTGTCATGGAGCTTGTATTGTAGCAGTGGGGGAGTGGGGGGTGGTGGTGGTTGGAAAGGGAGAGAGATGATTAAAATAAAAAAGGAAATAGAAACAATATATAATATGAGGGGGGATGGAATAAAACATTATAAGGCGGATGGGAAATCCTGGGAAAGACAGAGGTACATAATGGTACAGGAAGGTCTCACTGAAGTGTTAACATCTAACAGACATGTGAAGGAAGTAGAGAAGTGAGCTATGTGTGTATCTAAAGGAGGGAATTCCTGGCAGAGAGAGCAGAGGCCCTGAGGCAAGAGTGTCTCTGGCTTGTTCAATAAAGAAGCCACTGCGGGTAGACCAGCATGAGCAAGTGCAAGAGGGGTGGGAGAGGACAGAGGACAGGAGGTCATTGTAAGGACTATGGCTTTGACTCTGAGTATAACGGGATCCATCGGAAGATTTTGAGCATAGAAATGACAGGATCTGACTTATGGATCTCTCTAGCTACTCTATTGTGAATAGATGATAGGAGGTCAAGAGTGAAAACAAGGACACCAATGCTGGTGTCTAGAGGTGATAGGGGCTGGGCCATGGGCAGCAGGGGAGGTGTGTGAAATGGGTGGGTTCTGTATAGATTTTGAGGATACAGCCAATAGGACTTGTTGATGGTGGGGATTTGAGCAGGAGATAAAGCAAGCAATCAAAGGTGATGTCCAACATTTTGGCCAGAGCAACTGGGAGGATGATGTTGCAGCTTGCTGAGATGTGGAAGCCTGGAAGAGGAGCATGGCTGTGGGGAGGGTGGTGGGACAGGAATCAGGTGTTTGCTTTAGGAGCTTTAGGGTTCAGATGCCCATTAGACATCCCAGGAGAGGTGTAGGGTAGGCAGTGTGGGGTGTGAAAATCTAGAAATCACAGAGGTCCGGGCATATGTAGGGATCATTAGTACTAGATGGTATTTAAAACCCTAGGTCTGAGTCCAGATAGAGAAAAGCCCCCCAAGCTGTGGGGTACCCCAACACTGAGAAATAGGGAAGAAAGAAGCCAGAAACTGAGAAGGAGTGACTGTGGAGTGTTCTGGAAACCCAGGGAAGAGTTTGAGGGTAGGGGGGGATGACCCACTGGGTTGTAGGCCATGATAATAGATAAGGACTGATGGTGGATGTGGACATCCCCACGTTCAGGCTGCTAGAATCCCTAATAAGGACAATTTCCACAGGGAGATCAGAAGAAGAGGAAATGTTTGCTGGAGAAGAGGGCAGAGAAATGAGACAGGAGGAGGAGGGCTGCCGAGAGTCACAGGGGCCAGGGTGAGGGCTAAGGGGGCAGGGCAGAGGGGAGCTGGGAGCTCAGCCCACACAGCTGCTTCTTCCCTTAGGTTGCCTAGAGGAAGCCTTGCCATCCTTCCCAGTAAGGCCAACTTGGGGGAGAGTCCCAGAGCTCTGAGAAGAGCTCCTCACCTTCCAAGAGGCAGGGGCAGCACTGAGTGGACACCTTGTGCCTGAAGGCCCTTCCAGAAAAGGGTCCACACACCAGGGCTTGCCTCTGGGTCTTGATGTACTGGAGCAGCTCATAGAGGACGTCACCTAGGAGTGGAGGAAGGGAGCAAGTCAGTCACCTGACTCTGGGGCGATGGCTGGGGTCAGTCACAAGCTTCGTGCTGATGAGATGAGAAGTGGCAGAGTGGAAGTGGGTAGAGAAGACAAGAGCCATGGGGAAGCAGAGGGGAAATGATAGCAGGACATATCTCTGGGTCTCTGCAAACAACAGCCAAACAGATTCCTTTGCTGCAGGCCTGCTCTTGCAAGGAACGACCAGGCAAACATTTATGGAAAGGGGGACGTCTGCCATGCTGAGAGGTGAGCATGCTCCTCCAACCAATGCTTCAATATCCCTCCATCTCTCTCCTGGGCCTACCTGGGTTTCCATCGGAACATTTTAGAGGGAATCCAGTGAGTTCCCCTGACCTGAACCAGGTGCACGAAGCCGGAAGTCATCCTTGGTGAGAATGCAGAGGGCTCGGCCGTTCATCTCAAACCCATGCTCCCCAGTGCACTGCAGAGAGTACTCCTGCTCAGCCCAGCGCAGCCAGTACAACACGTCCTCCCTGCTCCAGAGTGCTGGCTGGATGCCTGCAACCACAGGGACAGAGACTGGGAGAGAGAACAGGGCGGGGGCAGGAGCTCTCCCCACAACAGTCACTCATCCTTCCACTTCAGGTCCTCTCTGGAATGTCCCCTTCTCTGAGAAGCCCACCCAGAATGCTACATTAGAACCAATGCTGTCCTCTCTTGTCTCCCTCTTGGTCACCATGTCCTGTTCTTTTCCTTCCTGGCACCTCACTTTCCTTTTCATTGCACTTCGCATAGTTATAAGTTTATGTTCATCATTATCTATGCATTATGTATGTGTTCACTTATTTTAGTTTTGGTACCCCAGCCTGTTTTCCAGTTCTTAATTCAACACATATTTACTGAACTATTCCGTGCCAGGCACTAGGCTGGATGCACGGGGACACATTGGTGTATGTGTTCAGCACCAAGGACAGCGCCTGGACCACAGGCCGTGCTCAACCTATGTTGAGTGATGGTTTAAATAATTAACAGTCCTGTGAAGAAGGCGTGTTATTGTTACTGTTTTCCCAATGAGTTAGCTGAGGCTCCCCGAGACTGACTACTCCCGGGTCACACGGGCAGCATGAGGTACAGCCAGGTCCAGAATCCAGGTCTGTCTGGCCGCTGCACTCTTCTGCTCTGTTGTGCCAGCTCAGGTCTGGGTTTGCTCAGGGAACAGCCCAGAGGACAAAGAAGTCTCCTGCACCCATTTCCAGCTTGTGTGTTCTTGTCTCTGGCAATACCCAGACAAGGAGCTGCTTTCTTTTATTCCTCCTCCTTACATGTCTACTCTGCTTGGACCTCTTATGCTCCTAATGCCAATTATTTACCTCCCTCACCTGGGTTGTGTTTAACCAGGCCACCTTGTGACTCTTGTGGGCCCTTGGTAGTCTTGCCTTCAGAGGCCCCTTCCTCACCTAAAATATACTTAAAATTTTATTTTATAACTGCCTTGGTAGAAAGACAAGTGTATTGTTATATGTGAAAACATTTTATTTTTAAAAATTTTTTAAATTTATTATTTTTAAAATCACATATAATGTATTATTAGCCCCAGGGATACAGGTCTGTCAATCACCAGGTTTACACACTTCACATCACTCACCTTAGCACATACCCTCCCCAATGTTCATAACACAACCACCCTCTCCCTAGTGAAAACATTTTCTTCTGCCTAAAAGTTCAGTTTTTTTCTCTTGACTTCAAAAGAAATCAGAACTTTTTTGTGGGTCCCTAAAAGTATTAGGGCCCCCAGCCCTGTGCCCACCGTGATGGTGGCCTGGTGCTTTGCTTTGTGTGGTGTGTCTCCTTCCAAGAACACTTCAGCCCTGTCAGGATCCTGTGTCACAGTGGGAGGAGGTTGGGACTCATTAGGGCTGGTGCAATGGGTAGCAAAACTGAGGCAGGGGAGATACCTGTCCAAGGCCACACTTTCGCAGTGGCAAAGACTAAACCACCCTGTGACTGTCTTGGTCAGCACAAGAGATAAAACTTGTTTTCATGTTTACAAAAGAAGAAGAAGAAGAGGAAGGAGAAAAAGGAGGAAAAAAAGAAAGAAAGAAAAAAGAAAAAGTGCAAGTGTATTATCCATTTGTCATCAATTCAGCCAATATCTAACAAGCATGGGCCATGTGCCAGGCACTGTGCCCCTGCTGGGGACCCAGCACAGAGTGAAGCTGGCAGGAGAGTGTACCCAATGACTATCTAATGATAATTCTGCTCAGCCACATGGAGGGAAAGGACCCTGGGCTACAAACATAGAAGGCAGAGCAACACAGCCCAGTTTGGGAGGAAGGAGAGGTTCCCCTTAACTTTCTTTGGGGACCTAAGAATGAATAATGAAGAAGAAGAAATTTCTGAAACTAACCAATAAAGTATTTAAGGGGGAAGAAAAGAACAGAGGGGGCAACTGGCCTTCATGTACTACATACCACAAAGCTACATCATCAAGATGTGATGCTATTACTGAGACCGACAAATATCAGGGAAAAAGATGGAGCCCAGAAGTATGTGCACATGTGCACGCATGTGTGTAAATTTAATACACGATAGGGGTTTTAATTCAGTGGAAAAGGATAGTGAATTTGAGCTATGTTAAAACCACAACTGTTTTTTTTTTTTTTTCAAGCTGGAAAAAAATATATCTGGACCTTCACTGGTCTCCACTTAGAAAGATCAGTTCCAGATGGGATTAAGGCTTAATGAATAGAACAATAGAAACCTCAACAGAAATTGTGGGCGCCTGGGTGGTTCATTCCATTAAGCATCTGACTTGGGCTCAGGGCATGATCCCAGGGTCCTGGGATTGAGTCCCATATCAGGCTCCCTGCTCAGTAGGGAGCCTCCCTCTCCCTCTACTGCTCCCCTGCTTGTAGTCTCTCACTCTCTGTCTGTCTGTCTGTCTCTCTCTCTTATTATGTCAAACAAATAAATAAAATCTTTTAAAAAAAAAGAAGAAAAATAAAAGCTTTTTTTAAAAAAAAGTGGAAATAGGAAACCCACATGCATTAAACAGGGGTTGGGTGGGGGACCTCAAACCTCAACCAAGACGGGAAACTCAGAGGCTGTTACATAAGTGGAAGATGACTTGACTACATTAAGTTTTGTACATGTGGTAAAAGAGACCATAAACAAAACTAAAAGAGGGCAGAATAAAAGGAAATATTTGCAGCATAGATGACAGATGAAGGGCTAATGTCTATCATGGTGAAGAGCATCTCCAAATGGATTCTTTTTTTTTTTTTTTCCCCAAGACAAAACATCTTACTAGCAATTTACAGTGAAGCAGGATTTCTCAGCCACAGAACTACGGGCATTTTGCCTTGATCATTCCTTGCTGTGGGGGGTGTCCTGAGCTTTGTGGAATGTTCCCCAGCATCCCTGGCCTCTGGGCACTAGATGTGAGCAGCAAACACACACACACACACACACCAATAAGATGTGACGACCCAAAATGTCTGTAGACATCGCTGCGTGTCCCTAGGGGAGAGGAGCAAAACTGCCTCCAGTTGAGCATCTCTGCAGCAGAACAAATCCACTAATAAACATGTGGCAAGACATGACACCTCACTAGTCAGGGACAGACACAATCAGAGAATGAGATAGCATTTTTTAATGATAACACCTACCCCTGGCAGGAAGGCAGGGAAAAGACACCTTGATGGTGGAAAGAGGAATTTAGAGCCTCCATGGGAGATCAGCCCAGTGATTGCCGAAGGGCCTGAGACACAAAAGCTGAGCGGTGTGAAAGCTAGAAACCACCCGATAGCGAGATTCAGAAGTGTCAGGGCGGGCCCCTTGGCCAGCCAGGGCTGTTGGGGCTTGGGGGCCCATGGGCCATTGCATTTTTATGGCATTGCCTTTTTCACGGTATTTGGGGCTGTCGGCCTGAAAATTTAAGACTATGATTCCTGAGTCAGAGGAGTGTACACAGGCCTGTTTGGCCAGAGGGTGGGGATGGATTTCACACCCTCCCCAGGCTTCCTGCCTCCAGGGAAACTCTAGAACTACATGAAGAGAAGGAAACTGTAAACTTGGCAGACAGCATCAACCACAGATGTGGTCCTGCTACCCAGTCCAGAGACATGGGCTGGGGACGTCCCAAGCTGCCTGTGACAGACTCTGAGATCACACAGTAGAACTTGAAAATGAAGCCTGTCATTGCCCCGGAGTGAGATTTAGTTTTTCTCTCATTACCTCTTTTTCACGCCTATCCCTGCCTTTCATCCCTTTGCTGCCGGCACCTCCAGTCCAGTAAGTACAGAAAAGGGACCTTCCTGTCCTCGTGTTTCAAAGAATACTAGGGTCATAAAGGGCCTTCCAATAGGATTTGAGCCCCCAGGGAAGGATCAAATTCCAATCAGTGGATCAGCCACCTAGCTCAGGGCCAAATCTCCAACCCCAGGGTCTGGGTCCCCAGCTCAGCCCCTTGCTGGCCAAGTCACCTACAAACCATTCAACCTCTCTGAGCCTCCATTTCCTCCTCTGTGAAATGGGATAACATTTCACTGCCTGGCGGGGCTGCTGTGCTGTTTGAGGGGCAGGATGGAGCAGGGGTTAGGAGCCCAGGCTACATACTGTGCAATCCAGCATCGCCTAAGAGCCATGGTGGGAATGCATCCACCAGAAGACATGTATGCGAATGTCCCCTGTGGCTGTGGTCATAATAGAAAAGAAGTGGAAACATTCCAAATACCCATCAGTCTGAGAACGGACAATCAAGTTGTGTTGTTTCCATGCAATGGAAAACAGAGAGTACAAGACACTGCTACTCAGGACACATGGCTTAAAGCTCATTGATACTCTGCTGAAGGAAAGAAGCCAGACTTAAAAATGCCATCAAGAACAGATGCTAATATAGGGGGAGAAATCAGAAGAGCGGTCACCCTTGGCCAGTTGGAGGGGAATGGACTGGAAAGAGGGACAAGGAAACTTGCTGGGGCACTAGAAATGGTCTAGTTCCTGATCTCAGTGGTAGCTGTACAAGTGTGTCCACGTCTGTACACTTGAGATCTGTACACATGACAGTATGTAAATCATCCCTAAAGGAAAAGGAGAAACATACAACAAAAAGGATCGATGATGGTGGCAGGCCAGCTGGAAACTGGCAAAACGACTGTGTTTCAGTATCCTCATCGGCAAATTGAGGGTGGTGACGCAATACAGGACCAGCGACATGGGGCTGTCATCAGGATTCTACGGAATAATCAATGTAAAGACCAGTGTCTGGCACGTGGTCTGTGCCTTCCAACACAAGTGGAGCTCTTGACGTTAGCCGAGGTGACACAAGTAAAAAGCTTGGCAAATGGCCTCCCACACCTAAGAGTTCCATAATTGCTGGCAAGTGTTATCTAAGGCATCCACTACCCTCGCCCCCCAGACATCTTCCTGACCCTGTTACTGGGATGAGCCTAACGGAGTCTCCCCTTACCAGTCTGACCACCCCTCAGGGGCTTTGCCTAGGCTCCTCCCTCTCTTGGTTGTGATCCATGGTATTTTCAGTTCCTTACATCAACCAT